CTGTTCATGACTGATACAGACTATGACAGGGCACCTGAGTTCAGAGACGAGTCAAGCTCAGAGACAGAGTCAAGTTCAGAGACAGAATCCAATTCAGAGATGGAGTCAAGTTCAGAGATGGAGTCATGGTCAGAGACTGAGCACAGTGCTAGTTAGCAGGGCTGCCGGGTGAGTTAGTGTTTGGGGTACCAGGCTCAGCTTGGGGAAACTGAGAAGACACCACATGGCAGTTCTTACAGAAGTATGCTTTATGACAATGAGTTACACTTGGAAAACCTGTTCGAAGGCTAAATTTTATGTTTTATCTATTTTACCACCATAACAAAACAGCCAACAAAGCAAAGCAAAATACCACGGCACATCTACCTCTCCCACAGGAAGCTTCTGGGTGTTAACTGTCCCCCATAGCACACACTGGGCCCAGGGGACAGCACAATATCCTACACTAGAACCAAGAATGAATTCTTCCAACCGATCCTTCTGGAATATTCCAACCTAGACTCAGAACGGTGACTTCTCTCCAAAATTCTTCAGCAACCCCGCACCCTAGCATGAAGCAACAGGCCAGAACTGGGTCAGTGGACGTGGATTAATAAGAATATAAACAGAACAAGCAGCTTGCCATGTCTCTAAGCTGATTGACTTCCTGTGTCCCCCACTCCCAGGACAGGGAGCAAGGCAAATGTAGGGGCAAAACTGCATGTTGGGCAGGGACCCTGGATCTGTCACCACACTGCCCTACCCTGGAAGCCACTGACCCTAGCGGGAGCCCAGACCACAGGCCTGCCTCCCATCCCCACCTTCTTACGTAACCCCAGGCCTGGATGGCCCAGAACTTGGCCGTGGCCCTCAGCAAGGACCAGCGGGCCTTGAGTTTTCATCCTCCTCCACTTGATCATATCCACTGATCCTCATTAACACACGGTCCATGCCCACCACACTCAAAGAACCCCTGTCCCAAGCTGGGTGCTGGTGCTCACACCTGTAATCCTGATCACTCAGGAAGCTGAGATCTGAGGATCACGGTTCAAAGCTGGCCTGGACAGGAAAGTCCATGAGACACTGTGTGCACACACACACACACACACACACACGCGCGCGCGCATACACACACACACGCACACACACACACATAATCTTAAGGGGTGATGTTCATCCAGACAAAATGCCCCTGCTTGAGGCTCCGGTCTACACCATCAGGAACACTGGGATGATTCTGGGCTTACATCAAGGTCAGGAGGCAGAACACTTGCCCTGATAAAACCTCGCTTAGAGATGCTGAGCGGGGAGGGAGCTAAACTTCGGGTCCCGCATTGGGAGACACTCCGCATCTGTGATTTTCTCTCTCATCTACAGGTGCCTCCCTTACCATGCTGTGTCATCTCATCAATGTCCAGACGAGGAGCCCAAATGGAGCCTCAAACAGTGGCCCAGGTCCCCGGTTGCTGGTGTCACCAGATACTAAGGAGCACTGACTCACATGGGTACTTTTCCACGGCTGAGGCCCAGTCACCCAGCCGAGTCCTAGTGATGGTGGCGGTGATAAGAAGGGCAGTGCCCCGGAATGCACTGACCCCACCCATGGCTCAGGTCGCGGCCTCCCTCATTCCAGAAGCACGCCCACACAGGGCTGGGGTGGGGGAAGGGGTGCAGCAGGAAGCACTGTCTCAGACACACAGGAGAAGGCACCACCAGCTTAGTTTTTCAGGTAAAAGCACTATCGCTGCTCTTTACCTGCCCTGACTCCTTCTTCAACTTTCCCAAGCAGCTTTGAAAACTCTTACCCATCCTTCAAGGCCCAACTTCTCAAGTACCCTCCTGTAACTCTGAGACTCAGCAAGTGCACGCCAACCCTTATTTTGGCAATCCATAAATGCATGGAAAAAGAAGTTTGGGGCCAGTGGCAGGGCAGTCCCCCATGGATTCCCCCGGACTCTTCCATTGCTTTCTGGGTCAGCCATGTGCTTGGCTCAGGAACTGCTTCTCTGGTCGTTAAGTCCAGGGAGCCTCATCCCTTCCTAGCCATGCAGACCTGGAGGGGCAGGGGGGAGCAGAGACCTGGCTCTGACTAACTTGAATCTAGCCAGGATCAGCAACAGCTCTACCTCCACCAGTCATCCTTAAACCCTTGTCCTTCTCAGAGTCTGGACAATGAGTAAGGGTGGAGTGGACCGATCTATTTACTCTGTACCTTAACACACTTACCTAACACAACCTACTTCCTAACATGGAGAAGAGCTGACAAGCCAGATTTTAAACATAATTAAAAATATATCAGAAAGCCAGGCGCCAGGGGTTCACACCTGTAATCCTAGCTATTCAGGAGGCTAAGATTTGAAGATAGGGGTTCAAAGCCATTTCAGGAAGGAAAATCTGTGAGACTCTTATCTCCAATTAACTACCAGAAAACCAGAGGTGGAGCTGTGGCTCAAAGTGGTAGAAGGCAAGCCTTGAGCAAAAAAGTTCAAGGACAGCATTCAAGGTCCTGCATTCAAGCTCTAGGACTGACAATAAATATATATTTTATATATATTATATATATTATAGTATACATATATATATATATATATATATTTCAGATACAAGAAAGGCTATGGAAGATGAAGCAGAGAATACAGCTCCCACCAAAGCTTATCCTAGCCTGACAACCACCCCCTCCTCCCGCCACCGCAGGCCTCTGTGGGGTCCGCACTGAGCCCACCAGAACTGAAAGCCAGCAGGGGTCCTCCACTAGGGAATAGAGCCCACCAGCAGCGGGACTCTCAAGTCCTGGCTGAGTTTGAAGATCTCCTCCTGAGCAGGGTAGGCAGCACCAGGGCAGGGCTGCGGAGCTATCTGCACTCTTGCACCGCTTCCCTTCTGCCCAGCTTTGGGTGACACTGTATGCCTCCAGCCCTGTCCCCTCCCCGCACCATAGGGTGGCCTTCTCCTTACACAGAAACTGAGGCGTGCACAAAAGCCCTGTTCTCATGAAGCGCCGATTTGTGTGTGCTTGTATCAGGGCTTGAGCTCAGAGTCTAGGCACTGTCCCAGAGCTTTTTCGTTCAAGGTTGGTGCTCTACCACTTGAGCCACAGCTCCACTTCCGCTTTTTATTTGCTGGTTAATTGGAGGGGTCACAACCCAACTGAGAAGCCAGGTGTTCTCTGACTCTGTCTGTCTGTCTGTCTGTCTGCCTGCCTGCCTGCCTGTCTGTCTGTCTCTCTCTCTTTCTCTCTCTCTCTCTCTCACACACACACACACACACACACACACACACACACACACAAGAGTCATCTCAGTTTTGTCTTTCAGAACACAGATTCCTTTGGATATCTCAGAAAACCATACAGCTCTGAGTGGCAGAGGCTCCCCCCTGTAATTCCAGCTACTCAGGAGGCTGAAATCTATGGACCACAGTTCAAAGACAGCCTGGGCAGGAAAATCCCACCCAAAAGCCAAAAGTTGAGCTGTTGACTCATGTGGTAGAGCACCAGCCTTGAGTGAAAAGGGTCAGTGTCAGCACCTAAGCTCTAAATTCAAGCCCTCATACCAACACACACACACACACACACACACACACACACACACACACGCAGAGAAATACAGATTCTCTCCTCCCTGAGTTGCGTGCGAGGAAACTGAGGCAAGCAAAGCAAATTCTTTGCCTGAGCTGTGACCTCCACATGGCATTGAGAGAACCAAGCCAAGCAGACCAGTGTTTCCAAAAGCAATCCTGGGGAACAGGTCAGGATAGCCCTCACTGGGCACCATGCTCAGCACCCACTCTCCTTGGCCTGACAGGAAGTGGAGGGAGGGTACAGAAAGCCCACCTTCTGGCTGGAAAAGCACCCAGGATCCTGGCTCAGAGAGCCGGAAAGGACTCGGTAGAGTGGTGTTGGGTCCTGTCTGGTCTGACTTTTCAGTGACCTTCCTGAAAAGGCAGGGGCCTGGTAGCCAGAAAGTGCTCTATTGTTTCCAGTTTATGTCCCCCAGTCCAGGGAGCCCCTTTTGTGCCAGGTCAGCGCTAAGGCTACCTGCAGGGGAGCTGGTGGGTTCTGGGCCCAACTTCCTAAGGGAATTTGACTCCTCCAGGAGGTGCCCACTGTACTAGAGGTGCCTGCTCTCTCTCTCCTTGTGCCCTGCACTCAGGAGAACCATGGGAAGGGGCGAGGGGGGGGGGGAGGGAGTTCCTGCAGATGAAGGTAGACATGGAAGTGCAGAAGAAGTCCTATGGTCCAGAAGGATGAGTCCAACACTGGCAAACTCCACCAGCACTAACCACTGGAAGAGCTCTTCACCACCACCGACTTAACCTGAGTCTCCTTTCCATGGTCCTGCACCTCCCACCTCCCTCTACTGGTACCCCAGATTCACCCCACTTCTTCTCTACCCCTGGAGAAAGGGGCTTTCTCCATCATCCCCCCACCCCGTGCATCTCCCCGCGGAGCTGAGCCCTCCCCAGCCTAAGGAGGGGGGGGTGATGCCCTTTCTGCACCCCTTAGAGCCAGAGCAAATTGAGGGGTCCCCGCCAACCATTCTCCCCTCCTCTCTCAGGGAGGCAATCACCCAGAGCTCAGCCCTGAGCAAGGTGGGGAAGGTGGAGGCTGGGGAAGGGGGGGAGATGGAGGCCCAGGAGGTGGAGGCCAGGGACAGGTGAGGGAGGGAGGCCTGGGAGATGGAGGCCAGGGGCGCGAACTACCTCCACCCCCCACTCTGCCTTGTCTCCCTTCTGGGTGGGTTTGGCAAGAGTCGGAAGACGCAAACTTCCCTTAAGAAAACCTCCAGCCACACTATCTCCATCCAAGCATTTGTTTTTAAATGGTTGGGGGCTCCGAACTGCGCCCCATAGTAACGGGGAGCCGGGGCGCGGCTAACTTCCCCGGACGGGGCGCGGGGATGGGGATGGGGCGCGTGGAGAGGGCACGTGGACGGGGCGCGGGGACGGGGTGCAGGAACGAGGAAGGGGTATGGGGACGGGGTGCGGGAACAGGGGTCCAAGCAGGGTCCGCCCTCGGTCACCTTGTCGGGGTCTCGCGTCCTGGGGCGCAGGGACGGGCGCTGCTCCGAGGCGGCCTGGGCCCGGGCACCTGGCCGGCGGCCGCGCCTCCCTCCGGGTCCCGCCCAGGGCCCGCCTGGGTCCGCCCCGTTGGGGAGCCGGGCGGGGCGCTGCCCGGGGAGGAGCCGAGCGCAGTGGGCGGTAGGGGCCCTGAACCCCAGCTGCATCTCCAGGGCCACCGCCTCCTGGCCCGGGCACCCGCCTGTCTCCAGCAGCAAGAGGCGGCCCGCCCACCCAGGCCCTTCTGCCCCTGCCCCTCCACCCCTGCAGCCCACAGCCGGCCCTTCCCCCTCCCCACACCCCTGCAGCCCACACCCGGCCCTTCCCCTCCACCCCACACCCCTGCAGCCCACACCCGGCCCTGCCCCTCCACCCCTGCAGCCCACACCCGGCCCTTCTCCCTCCCCACACCCCTGCAGCCCACACCCGGGGCTCTTCTCCACCCCACACCCCTGCAGCCCACACCTGGCCCTCCCCCCCCCCACACCCCTGCAGCCCACACCCGGCCCTTCCCCTCCCCCCACACCCCTGCAGCCCACACCTGGCCCTTCCCCTCCCCCCACACCCCTGCAGCCCACACCCGGCCCTTCCCCTCCCCCCACACCCCTGCAGCCCACACCTGGCCCTTCCCCTCCCCCCACACCCCTGCAGCCCACACCCGGCCCTTCCCCTCCCCAACCCCTGCAGCCCACACCCGACCCTTCCCTTCCACCCCACACCCTTGCAGCCCACACCTGGCCCTCCCCCCCACACCCCTGCAGCCCACACCCGGCCCTTCCCCTCCCCAACCCCTGCAGCCCACACCCGACCCTTCCCTTCCACCCCACACCCTTGCAGCCCACACCTGGCCCTCCCCCCCACACCCCTGCAGCCCACACCCGGCCCTTCCCCTCCCCCCCACACCCCTGCAGCCCACACCCGGCCCTTCCCCTCCCCCCCACACCCCTGCAGCCCACACCCGGCCCTTCCCCTCCCCCCCACACCCCTGCAGCCCACACCTGGCCCTTCCCCCCCAACCCCTGCAGCCTACACCCGACCCTTCCCCTCCACCCCACACCCTTGCAGCCCACACCTGGCCATTCCCCCCCACATCCCTGCAGCCCACACCTGGCCCTTCCCCCCCACACCCCTGCAGCCCACACCTGGCCCTTCTACCCCCCCCCACCCCTGCAGCCCACACCTGGCCCTTCTACCCCCCCACCCCTGCAGCCTACAACCGGCTCTTCTCTCCCCACTCCCCCCTGCAGCCCACACCTAGCCTTCCTCCCCCTTACCCCTCCCCTCTGCAGCCTATATCTGCCCCCCCACACACACACCCTACCAGCAACCCAGATAGGGCTACTCCAGGTACAGAAGGAGAGGGCCAGCTTACGCCTCCTCTTACCCCCTCCACAGGAGCTGGAGATCCTTCCCTGGGACAAAGGCCCTCTGTCTCCTGAGCTGCCCCTGCCTTGCTCCGTTTGGGGGATTCATAGACTGTGGGAACAGAACAAACCTGGGTGTCCAGGCACCTGGCCAAGATCCCCACAGGTGGGATCTTGGGCTCTGCTTTGCCCCTTGGCACTTTCCCTGTTGGCAGCAAAAGGGTTGGAGTGGACGATCTAAAGCCCTCTTCAGGCATCCTGAGTTTGGCTCTGGCACCTTCCTAACTTCTGTGGCTGTAGTGGTGCATGCACATATGTTCATGAGTATAGTGTGTATCTGTGTGTGCATGCGTGCATGCATACATTTCTGAGTACATGTATCTGCACATTTATGTGCGCATATGCATGTGCCTTTGAGCGCATACATGTTATGTCTGAGTGTACACACGTGTGTGTGTGTTTTATGTTTGTGTGTACTCCTTACAAGGGAAGTGGTAGTCATGCAGGTATGCATACATACATACATGCAGGCAGGCAAGTCACTGTCCCCTGCAGAGCAGAGTGAGAGTGAGCACTGAGTTCCAAATTCCACTTGGCCTTGGGGACCCCCCTCACCATCCTCCAAATGGAGGTGCAGCCCCACCTTCTTTCCCAAGGTATTAGGGGTCCTCACAAGACAGCAGACATAAGGGGTGTGGGCTTTCTGACACCTGATACCAGGGCAGAGATGGGTTTTAGAGACAGAAGAGGTCATGTGCCTGTGCTGGGGTGTTCTGTAGGGTGCTGGGATATTCTGGGATGCTATGGGGGTATTCTAGGGTATGCTAGGGTACTCTCTGTGCAGCAAGGCCTAGGGCTGGTTCACCTCCCCTCCTGCAGAAGCAGCATACAGCTTAGATGTGCACCCCCACTCTGCAGCCATGCACCCTGCCACGCAACCCCATCCCATCAGAGCTGTGCACTCTGATGTAAAGACTAAAGATGGCCCAGGAGTAGCCAAGATACCCAGAGGGCCCAGACCCCTGTGGCATCCTGGCCCAGACAGGGTCCTGAAGGCAGCCGGGACCTTCAGGTGCTGAGGGCGGCCCCTGCTTGCAAAGGGAAAAGCAGGCACTGGGCTGGGAGTCAGAGAGCCCCGCTCACCAGAGAACTGATGGGCTTGGGGGAGGCTGTGCCCAGCAGGCTTCAGCTCAGCACTTACCAAGACCTTTCCCACCCTCCGTTACACACACCTGTAGCACTGGTGACTCACAGTGGCCTCGGTTTTCTCTCTAGCCTCAGATTGCCCCAAAATGTTCTCTGTGCACTTTTCATTGCTGTAACAAAAGAACCAAAGCAGGGAAGTTTATGAGTTTCCTGGCCCACAGTGGCTCACACCTAAAATCCCAGCTACTCCAAAGGCAGAGAGCTGGATGAGGTTTGAGGCCAGCCCTGGCAAAACATCCGTGAGACGCCGTCTCCATCAGTAAGCTGGGTATAGTGGTATATATCTGCCATCACAGCTAAGTGGGAGGATCATGGTCTGAGGCTGGCCAAGGAGCAAAAACTCACCACCTTTTCTGAACAATAGCTAAAGCAAAACAGGGCTGGAGGCATGGTTCAGGCGGTAGAGCACCTGTCACACAAGCATGAGGCCTTGAGTTCAAACTCCAGTACCACAGGCTTGGAGGCTAGAGGACTAGGCTATCCCACTGATTTGGCCTCCAGTGGGGGCCTCATGGCCATTGAGGTCACAGTGGCCAGGGCATTGCTAGAGGCCGTCATGGTGAGGCAGGAAGCCAGGGAGACATTCAGAGGTCAGAATCACTGTCTTCTAACAACCACTCTCAGAAACTAACCAGTACCTCAGGAGACAACATGAACCACTCCCAGAGAAGCACTTAGTACTGAATCCCCCCACCAGGTCCCTGACATCCCCGCCCTGTCACACTGAGGACCAACCTTCCTATGCACAAACTGTGTGTGTGTGTGTGTGTGTGTGTGTGTGAGGGGGTGTCACACTCAGCTGATCTCACACTACAGCAGCCTCAACAAGATACACCAGTCTGGAGTCCTTGGTCAAGGCTGGGTATTAGTCCCTGGGGCTAGGCTCAAGTCCTTCTTTAAGATGCTTGAGTTTTTCCTTTTTAATGTTAAGACAAAGTCTGAAGATGTAGCCCAGGCTGGTACATAGTTTGTGATTCTGCTGCCTCAGCCTCTTGAACACAGGGATTACAGGTGTATACTGCCACTTTGGGCCAGCTTCTCTGGGAACTCTGATGTGCAGGGAGTCTAGCTACCTTGGCCTGTTTGATTGTTGGACCACGTGGACAGCTGAGGCCCATCTGCTTCCTCTGCCCTCTCCACAGTACCCTGGGTTGGGTCCAGCATCTGCTGGAATACATATACAAATAACGAAGTTGAACCCCACGGCTCCTTCTAATGCATAGTAATGGCAAGTGGATTTTCCCAGCAGCCACAACTGCACTCACTGAATTACAGCTATTGTTGATGCTGCTGGCTGCTTTCTGGGCGTCTCCTTCTTCCCAGCCTGGGCTGAGGTCAGCTCAGGAAATGGACAGGAAGCTATTCTCTTGGGACAGCCTCTTTTTCAGGACTGGTCTGGTCCAGTGAGCCCAGAGCTCTCCCCAGGTTCCCAGCTCCCTCACAGTCCCCAGGTACTAGCGTTCATCAACCCTGGACATAATCCATGCTCATCTCTGCTTCAAGAACTGCAAAAATATTCATCCCCTCCCACTCAGTACCCTTCACTGAGAACCAAGGAAATAGTCCTCACAATAGGACAAGTGTTATGGAAACAACCCAGATGCTTCACTGCGGATGAATGGATCCAAAAATTGTAGTACCTATATACAATGGAATAGTATGCAGCCATTAGAAAGGACAGATTAATGGCATTTGCAGGGAAATGGATGGAACTAGAACAAATCATGTTGAGCGAGGTAAGCCAAGATCAGCAAACAGCACATGGTCTCCCTGATGTGTGGATATTAAATGCAAAATGCAAGGAGATATGACAAAGTAAACAGGACTCAAGAAACAAAGAACCTCTACTTAATTTGTCGTATCATTTCTAGATGACTCCATGTTCTTGACCTCATATACGGTATATACATGTGCACTCTGAGGGAAGCTAGGAAGAGGGCACAGAATCAGAGGGAAATAGGGAGAAAATACAACATAGGGGCCCATCAGCTACACTGGACATTGATGAAAATGAACTAGGCAACTCAAGGGCAGAAATGGGAGGGAGGGAATGAGAGAGAAAGAGGGAACAACTTACACTAAGCCAAAGGAAAGAAATGTACATATTACCCTATTTGGAAGAAATAGTTGTATTGCCAAAATTTGTAGAGTTCACAAGCTTTGGAGACCATGATAATGCCAATTCACCTTGTGAAGGTTAAAATGTGTTTGTGACTTTAACCATCACTATCCCACAACATTGCGAAATTTGTTCAATTTAGGTAATCACAATAAAATTTTTAAAATAAAAAAAAATTTAAAAAGGACAAAGTTATAGCCTGATGTGGAACATGGACACACAAGGCAAAGAGTCCATCTCTGAGGCCAGTGAGAAGCAGTGCACATTGAAAGCTAATGGGAGGCCGCTGCAGCCCAGCAGAGCAACTGGGTACCAGGCGGGTGGAGCACCGAATTCCACTGACATGAGCCCAGCTATGGGAAAATGGAAAC